TTACAATGTTTGTTGTCTGACGGCTATGATAGTGGCATGGATATATACATATGTGCAGATGAATATGCGTGGTTGTTGGAAAGTAAATATTTTTATGGCATGCCATTGCTTGAAATTTTATTGCATATTTAAATAATCATAAAGGCGTAATAGAGAGAATGTATATGATAATAGATGTACTCACATAGTGGTTTTTTATTGCAATATAAATATGTATGGCTTCAATTTTTAGAAAGGATGGCGATGTAATAAAATATATTGTATTTTAAATGGGTATTATATATTTCTTAAAGCTTACTTCTGGTAAACTAACACTTTTAGGGCCATTTTCTCAGGTGGTTTTTAAATTTCAACTACTCTTTAACCCCTTCAGGACCATAGAGACTAATAGGGAAAATATTTTTAGAATGCGACACGGACTCGTAAGCTTTTTTTCAAGAAATTTGAAAAAAAAAATTTTAAACACTTATTTCACCTTCATTGCCCAATGTTTCGCTAAAATTTTCAGCATCATCAGGGCCATCAAGGCCAACAAAGATAGTTTTCTGATGATTCTGAAAAGTTCAGTGAAACGTTGGGCAACGAAGTTCTTTATTTGCACCACCAAAATAATAGATGTAGGCTAGCCTACAAGCCAACAATCCGACAATCGCTGCTAAAGTAAGTGGAGGCAAATAACAGCACTGAACAAACAAAGTGCAAAACATCTGCACTCCGTGTACTTGTGCAACAACGCAACAATAGCCAGCCACAAAAAAAAAATAAGTGCTTCTACCAACAAATACAGCCATAAAATAGCTTTCATTGCTGCAATTGTAGTTGTGTACATAAAAACCCCTACATAAATACATAGTACTCGCGCACATAGCCCCGCATGCATCCACCGACGCGCCTTCACACATATGTAACTGCATACTGTTGCATGCCATCGCCATTGTTTATTACAATCGCCATGGAAAGCTTGCTGCAATTTTCGCGCAAGCACGCACTCTTACACACACCCAACCAACTTTGGCCAAATATGTTTACACAGACACATTTATGAAGAATTCCCTGCAGGGAAGAAGTTGCATCCAATAGTTTTTGAATCCGTTATCTTTTATTTAACATACCTACATAGATATGGACTGGACGTGATGAATGTAGACATCCTTTTTAACCCTTTAACCATAAGAAAATTATGTGAGCTTTTAGTAAATATATATAAATAAATATATATATTTTATTTTTAGAGTGTGACACACGTTGCTATTTTTGTCAACGTAACAATTATTTTTTTATCGAATTAAAAAATATTTTTTTACATTCTAATTGATAAAATGTAATTTAAAAGCAATATAAATTAGGAAAAGATTATTTTAGGAACAAATTTTCATTCAAAGTATACGTAAAGTTTTGAGCTACCACGTGTAACATTTTTTTGAAATAAATGTTTATTACGCGCGTCACAATAATAGAATTTGACACAAAGATTCTTTGGAGAATTTTTTTTTTCAATATAAATTTTAGGAAACCTACTTTTAGTTAGGAAAAAATCCTTTTAGGAAAAAAATAATTTTATAAGATTGTTTACGAAAAAAATTATGTGGAAAAAATTTTTTTTAAGAAAATAATGTCAACTTTATTTCGGATTTTATTTATTTTTTTTTATAACCTACTTTAATAAAACACACAGAAAAAACGTTGTGAAAAAAGTTATAATACGAGTATTAATGAACAATTTTTAGAATGAAACAGTCAAGATAAAAATTAGTTTTTCGTTGTAAGTAATGAAAACATTTAAAAGAATATTATTTTCATATTCAATGTAATGGAAAGTAGTTGAGTGGAATATATATATATATCTCCTCTTTTAGAGTTTCTATTTGATAAACTAATAGAAACATGTTCACCTGAATCAAACTAAGGCAGTGAAACTTTTTTCGATTAATATCTAGTACGTTTCATGCTGCAGAGATTTGTATTAATCCTAACATTGGCCTGAGTCTAGGTTTTCGTATTTGTCTACGTATTTGCCTTCGTCTTTGCATTTCACTTTGCATTCGTAATTGTCTTCCTATTCGTCATCGAATTCGTAGTCATTTTGGTTTTGTATTTGTCTTACTACTCTTCTTTATATTTGTGCTCTTATACGCCTATATATTCCTTTTCGCATTTTCCTTCGTATTGGCCTTCATTTGCGTCTCCGTTATAGGCATCGTATTCGTATTTGTAGTTTTTCTTCCACTCCGATTTGTTCGTCTTCGTATTTGTCTTCGCTTTCTTCGTAGTATACGTATTCGTCTTCATCTTAGTAGACGCCATAGTTTTTTCCTTCGTATTCTCATTAAGTATGGCTTTGTATCCGGGTTTGGAATCTGTCTTCGCTTTGCATTCGTCTTATTGTCGGTTTTTTCCATCGTATTAGTCTTCGTGCTCATTTCCGTATTCTTACGGAATTCTTATTCATCTTCGTTTTCGCATTTCTTTTCATAATCATCTTCGTATTCGTAAGCGCCGCAGCTTGGCTAAGAACACTTTTAGCTATTGGCCCTCTGGAATTCTAACAAGCTTTGAACTCACTCCGACCTCACATATGGATTGAAGTTGAATAGACTACTAGGAGGAGGTGTGCTCCACTAGGATTTCTCCATCAACCGCAAATTAACTTCTTAAAGAGGTTAGTATATATTACTTGCGGAAGTCAGGGCTATTTTATAATTTGTTGAAAATCGGAGGATGCCTGAGTTCACTCTCGATCGCATCAGATCACTTAGCTTTCAACCTTATTTGGCTTCCATGTCACAGCGATATCGCAGGTAACTAAAAGGCAGATGAGCTAACTAAAAAAGTAGGTATGAAAGTGAGTATACGCAGTATGCTGCTGGATAAATGGGCGAAAAGTTTGATCTGCAAGGTGACTAAGTTCTTCCAACACGATATTAGCTGATTGAGGAGCAAATAAGCTGTTAAACCCACAAATTACCTTCTTAACGGCCATTCTCCAATCGAAATTCACATTTTAAAACTCACCCCATCACCTCAAACTCCCAATGCAGCTGTCCTATGGATGATTATGAGGTGCAATCATCTTAACATCTGCTATTCACCTGCCGAGCTTTTGCCAACTTTAGGGTTGAATACCTTGGATCTCAGTTCTCTTTGACCATCGATTAGCTTTCGTTGATTGGGAAACATTAGTCGCTTAAGTAGCTTTGTTGTGAGAACGAATCGTTTTTCTACCACAATTCCTTGGGCGTCACCACTCAACGAATCTCCGGATCTTACTTGGATATTAATTACTTTACAGCTCAACAGGCATTTCCAGCAAGTCATTTTGGACGCTGATAACTCATTGTCGTGCAAACATTTTAAATAGAACGCATGATTTTGTGTGCAAATGGACTGACACACTTAGCTGAGCCCCAAGTACTGCAAGGACAAATAAGTACGAATATGTACACTTAGGCGCATACGAGTGGGGTAGTATGTGAATGAGCATGCATACATATGCAGATACATACAAGCGTGCGTTCACCAAGTGTAGAAATCACTCCACTAGTGTATGCACTCGATTATGACCGCGTACAAGCGGTTTGTTCTCATTTGCCAGAATAATCACTGTAATTGCAAAAAAAAAAAAAGGTAGCAATACCGGAGGTAGGTTTAGCGCTTTGCTGCAGACTTATCAACTTCAGCCTAGTAAAGCAATAACTAGCGGAACGGAGTGGTTCTCTTTAAATTTACAGGACTTTGTTACGTTAGGGTTCTTCTACAAAAGATGCTAGAAAAATTATACTTTTTCAATCATTTTCAAAAGCTTCAGTTACCTGGAAAAAAACGGGTCATAGCGCAGTATATTTTCGTTTCTCCTCGAGATAATAATGCGACTTCCGAGACCACAGATCACACTCCTCCATAGTTTCTGTTGAACTGGATCCACTGATCAATCTACAAGAGCACCAATGACTCCTTGAGAATCCCAGAAGAAAAGAAAACAGCCGCACGATTTACGGCTCAAGGTTGGATTCTATCTAAAGCTAATACAGCTGCTACGTTTGCAGATGGCT